GATTATTTTTATGAGAGTGAGGGAGTAGTTTGTAAGTTGCTTCAGTGTTCATCAACAAATCTATCCATAGGCAATTTCTCTTGAAAACAGCAGGCTCATTAGCAAACCGAAAAGAAAGCAAAAACAAAAGTTTCTTTAAGACAGAAAAAAGAGTCAGAATTATGCCATATTGATTTGGATGAGGCCATGCCAACACCTGACCATATTGTTAAGGTATTTATTTATTTAGCGTTGCGGTCCAATTGTATTTTTAAATTTTTAATTTAAAGATAATTTTTTATATTTTTAGATTGTTTTGACATATTAATAATAAAAATATTTTTTTAAATAATATAATTTTAATATATTTTAAAACAAAATGCACTTATAAACAATTTCAATCATACTCACAAATATTAAATGATGCATAAGATTATAAAATCTACCCTAATGAGACGGGGGTGGCCAATTATTTTCTTGCAATTTGCTTGTTCATCTTTGGTTAGTCTCTTGTATTATTTTTAGAGCAGTTATTTATTAATTTTTGCTCCATAAACACACAGAGAGAGAAATTATTTAATTTCATGCTTACATGAAAATTGTAATATCACCTTTGGCTAGTCTTTTGTAAATCTTTTTTTTCTCTTTTTTCTATTCTGCTTATATGGAGCAAACATTGAAAATTATATAATTTCTCTAAATACTAAAAATTAAAGTTAGAGATTAATGAATAAAGTGTTGAAGACACAAGTGACGAAGGGAGGGGGGGCTAGTAGGGGCTCCGGCCCCTCCAAGAAAATACCCTTTCCTTGTAAATATTTAATAAAAATAACTAAAATTTTTTCTTAGCCCCCTCTAATTTATAATTTGCCCCCCTTGATTTTTTTTTCCCATCCGTCCCTAGAAGACACTATGATGTTTTGAATCCAATCAAATTAAGTTTTTTTTTTTAAAATATTGAATCCAATCAAATTAAGTTTTTTTTTAAAAAAAAATTTATTTGCATTTCCATTGCATGCAATATCTAGTTACTAAAACAATTAAAATAAATTAGGTGGATTTAATTATTCATATCAACACTTAACCAAAGTTAATATTTTGTTTTTAATCTTGTGGCTATATGAGTTTTGTGTTATAATGTGAAAACGTATGGAATGTTTTTGAGATTGCGGGTTTGAGGTTAGGAAAGGTGCTTTATTAAATTTGAGGAGTCCATCTCTTTTTTAATTCAAAAAAAATAAAAAAATTCATTCATCTCTTATGAGCAAGTTCATATTAAAACAACTCTCAAATAATTTAATTTAAAATTCAATCTAAGTAAATAATCAAGTTATTTTTTTTAAATTTAAACTCTTGTATTCATGAAAATGCCAAAAACAATTCCAACAGTCTAGATATTATTTTATTACATTTAATTTATAAACTAGTAAGAAACTACATAATAACTGTATTTTTATATATTAGTTTTAACATTAAGATTATTATTATTTTTTTAATTGGATCTTATAGTTATACATGTATATTCAAATTGGCGCAATAATAAAATATTAAAAAAAAAAACCTTTTTCACAAATCACCATCCACACCGAACACTTCAAAAGGTTCCATTTAAAATGAAATTCCATAACTTGCCAAAGAATTGGCAAAAGGAATAAATATTAGTAAAAGGAAGCACAAAAAAAAAGGTAAGAAGGTTCCATTCATAAATTTTGTTTGTTTCTATATTTTAAAATCACTTTTAAAAAACTTTGAAATTTTTTATTTTTTATTTTAAATTAATATTTTTTCAGATTATTTTAATATATTAATATCAAAAATAATTTTTAAAAAAATAAAAAACATTTAACAAAATAATGATCATAATCACATTCTCGAATACTCCAAAATCATGTCGGTGCTGGTCATCGAAGCCATTAATATGCCGAGTAAACCGTTGTGGTTTGACAAGTAGTCTAACATTTGAAAGTCAAAAACAATGGCTTTGTATCCACCAAGCCTTGATTGACACACTACCAGGTGCTTAACAGTTCAAAGTCTTCTTGCCAAGCCTAACCATATGGAATCATGAGAAACAGAGAAAGTCCTGAAGAAAAGCCTCGTCAAAACATGCATGATTGCATTACTGTTTAAAAAGCTTTTAACATACGAGAAGCCAACTGTGACAGAACAATTCTCTCTCATTTCCAGCTCAAAATCACACCTCCATCTCTTTCTTGGCTCACAAAATGGAAACCATCTCCCAAAAACAGACGATAGGAAGGCTACAACCTCCAGCAAGACAGTCACTTGGTGAGGGCAACAGGGTTAGAGGAAATAATCAAGTAGCGTCCATATCTCCCAGGCCACGGTCAACTTGTACTTGCTCAAACCGTCCGGGGTCAGTCAGGTGTAGCAAGCACGGCTACCTGGTGCCTAGTGACAAGTTAAGAAGAAATCAAGCAAATACAGAGATATTAAGGAGGGCTTTGGCACCACCAAATCGGAGGTTAACCCTTCGGTGATTTAACTTCCAGCCAACGCCTAGTCGGCTTTCTAACATGTCCATGGCATAGTTATTTGCAAGATTTTTTTTTTTCAAGGCTTGAACATATGGGTGTTCTGTATTTATCTCAAGAAATGATTGTCTATATGTAAATCAACTGAACAGCAATTCCTTTTCGTTTGTCTTCTTTTTTTAACATTTCGTTAATATGGCATCGCTGTTTTTCAAATTTATATATCTGCTTGGTAGAGATTCTTAAGGTTGACCTGTTCTACTCTTGTTGTTAGAGAGAGGGATGACCTCTTCAAGTCTTTATATGGCATGAAATTCATAAGGTTGGCCTTTTCTTTTCTTCTTGTTAAAAAGAGGAATGATTTGGAGTTCTCCCATTTCATTAAGAACAGAAAAACACCAGAAAAAAGAAAAGTAAAAGATAAAAAATGTAAAAAAATGGTGAAGTGCTTTTTTAGTGCCAGGATGTAGCGATAAAAACAAACATTTTATTAGATTAGTGCTTTTGAAGATGCTATTTGGACAAGGACACTAAAATGTATGCAAATACTGTGCATGGAATCATGATGTTGCAGTATTGCGAGCAACAGTGGATGCATTTTCAAGTCCCAAAGATGTAGCTTAATCAATATGGAAAGCTTAAGAATTACGTTCAAGTGTCTTAAATTCATGCAGTATCAGGACTATCCTCTGGTGGGTAATTTTTTGGAGACCCTAGACTTTGCTCGACTACCCAGTATGCTGCTTGCCTTCTTATTTGCAGTGAATACTTTTACAGAAATTTTGTTCAGCTTTGAAAAACAAAAACCATTCCTCTTCGGATGCAGAGTTACTAACAATTATTTGTCATCGATTTATTTTACTATAAAAGATCTGTTTAGAATTATGATAGAAAAAATCTATTTAGAATTATGATAACAATAATGATTTAAAATATTTTTATATAAAAAATATATCAAAATATTTTTTAAAAAAATTATTTTTAATATCAGCACATTAAAATAATTTTTATATATATATATATATATATATATATATATATTTTTAAATATATTTAAAATTGACTATCGAGTTTTATATGATATGATCATATCAACCTCGGAACCGATATAAAATAAAATACAATTTAAATTGACTCGTCGAGGGACAGATTTAACATCTATGGTCAAAACTCTTCTTTGATCAGTCATCTATCACAGTGACCTTGCACTACACGGGTTCGCGACCAGTTGTTTTCTTGTGCTCCCTTGAGGTGAAATATCTATACAACTATAGCTTATTTTCATAGATCAGAAAATAACGCAGCATCATTTTACCTTTATTTATTTTTTACTTTTTTTTTTTAATTTCTGACTCTGTAATTTCATTCATTAGGAACGCTGACAGTGTTGGAGACAGACACTCGGTTCCGTTTCTTCATAATTGGTTTCTCTATTAAGAAAAGAAATAAATAAGAAACGATAAATTATTATTATTAATATTGTCTGAAAATGCAGCATTAAATTGACACCTTACCATTTTTGGAATCTCATTAAAAAATGGTTCGTATTTGGAAGGGAAGAAAGGGACAAAAAACCCCTTGACATACAATTTACTATGTATTTAGGTATCGCGTAGTTTTCTTACATTTATCATTTAATTGATAGTTGGACAATGCCGGATCCTTGCTTCTTGTGGCAAAAATACCGAACAATTGAACAAGACAGTATACTATCATATTTCTGTAGGTGAACAATACGGTTTTACTTTGGGATCACTGTTAATTTTTTTTATTTTAAAATTATAATTTGAGTTAACCCACCGATATAGTTACTTTATATTCCACTTAATCCACTTAATTCATAACTAAAATTTTAAAATGAATTGATCCTAGTTAAGTTAAATGTATGTATATATTAGTGGGTTTATATATATATATATATATATATATATATATATATTAAGCTAAATTTTTTTATATATTAAAAAAAATATTTTAATATAAATACAGGGACCCTCAACCTGAACATGTATAAGCTTTCAGAGGTCTACATTGTGAACCACAGTACAGTCTGGCTATTGGCTTTCAGTTCACTCCTTGTTTATGTTAGAGGGAAGAGCGCAGGATAGCAGAGAATGTGCAGGAGATTAGGGGGCACATAATAGGAGTCTAGAGAAAGGAACCTGCAACAATTTCAACCGTAGGCCAAAAAAGAAGTCATTAGACTCCGAATTATGAACTGGAACCTGTCTGGATTGTTGAAATTGAGACAACAAAAAAAATCATTCTAAAGAAAAAGAAAAGGCCTCTTATGTCTCCATTGCCCTGTCATCCACCTTCTTCCTTCCCTTCTTCAATAGCAATGTTACTACACCTCAATTTCCTTTTCATGAAAGAGGGCAACTGTGGTTGCAACTACACGTTACTTGTTAACTGTGTCTGCTGATTTAATAGTGAAGCTGCCATTGGATGGCTTATCAGATCAGAGAGGGGGGAAATGGTGGCAATCTGAGTCGTATGTTTCATTTAGGTGATGAGGCATTTCTGTTTCTATATGTGGCACCAGAAAATTCTATATTCCATGGAAACTTTCCAGTGCGTGATTTTTACAGTTGTTAGGAATGGAATGGTATCTCAAGAAGAGTACAACAATCATCATATAAACGTGAATATGCAAGATGGGTGAGATATATACGATAGCCAGACCGTCCAGCAACTTTCTGCGCCAATCATCACATTGTGGATCCCCTCTCAAACTCTAATGACCGAGTTGAGCGATCCTGTTTTCTATTTTTGCTCGTAATTTCTTGCATTCCATCTACTCCTGTTAAGGGGCAAACAAAATGGGTTTGATGAAGTAAAAGAACACTCAAAGCATATCATAACTTTCTAGTGCAGTCATTGCTTATCCAAACAACACAAAATAAAGTAGTTCTGCAGTATACCTCAGGGGAACTGGGCAGAGAACTGAAAGAAGCTTCTACTGCTGCCTCAGATATTCTTGCTTCTGATTTCTCGTTTGAATAACTACCAAAGAGGGGAAAAAAATTTAGAACTTCAGGCTCGAGTCAAAACAAAATGAATCCTTTATCACCAGACAAACACTTAATTGTTTATTTATTTACAGATATCTCAACACCATAAATAGGTGGTGCTTCCATGAAAAGGACAAAACAGAATAAAGACAGGAATTTGCTGTGCCATGTCAAGACCACATATTCACATATGCCACAACTAAGTAAACTGGAAGATTCTAAAGCAATCTCTAGCAATGCTGCTAGAAGGGACTACTGGAGATCTCTTGAAATTAATGTGAGAGAATTAAGCAACAAAGAACTCAGATAAAAAAAAAAAATACATCTACATTTCACTAGAAATATTTAGCGAATCAAAATCAACTCTTTCTTAGAAATAGATTATGCTTATCCTAAACAGATTTCCCAAGAAAAGAGTCCATTAATATTTTTCCAGGCTTCATTACCTAAGGCATGACAGTTCAGCAAGAAACAGTATGCTACTTACGTAGACAGTATGGTCACCCAGATGAGTTCTACACAGTCCACCCAAAGCAGTCTTTGTTCTACAGGGATCACACCATATGTGATAAGATGCGCAAACGGCCAAAGCTTCCATCCTGCCTGCACAGAAAAACGCATCAAAGAATTCAATAATCAAGCCAAGTTGCAAACAAGAAAAAAACTGAAGTTAATGTGTTTTTGTCAAACAGTCCAAGCAATAAACAAAAACCACAAACCAAGTACAGAATTCAGCTTATATTAACTGAAAACAGAAGTACTCCTCAATTCCTGACCATTCTGAAAAATTAACAAACTGGAAACTTGTTGAGTTCAAGCTTGTAAATGAGAAAACATTTTTTAAACTCATTCAGGTGTTAGAATGGTTGCAAACTAAACATTTAATTATGGACAGGAGATAGAACATGCAAATGAGACCAACATGCGTGATAACTTCCATGGGCATCAAACATCCAACTATTAATGCTGAGAGGAAACACTCAAAACTAGTGATGCGGTTTCGCCGGATCCTGCTCTTCCCAACTCCATTACCAGGTGATAATAAAAACAAATGCTAGATCAAAGTTTGGATCTAGACACAGAGGAAAGGACAGAAGGCTCTCTTACTGTAAGCATAGGCCAGAATGTAGCCGTCAGTTCACTGAAAATGCTGGCAGGTGATTCCAGACGCAAGAATCCCAAGGCTGTGAAATAAATGCTGTTCCAAGCTGCTGCCCACAAAGTTTGGTCAAAGGCTACTTTGGCAGGAACAACCCACCAATCTTGGAATGGAAAAAGCTCCTACAAAACAGCAAATTGATTGAGTAAATTAATGAAAATGTCATTGAAACTATTAAACTGCCACAGAAATTTGAATTTCGTCAATCACCTCACAAAACTGGTAATAGTAATGTGAAAGGGAACCATGAAATGTAAAGCCAACAAGGCCTGATCTAAACATTCTTGTGCGGTCGTACTCGAAGAGTGGTTTACCTTCATAGCACTGAAGATGAAACAGAAACCAACAAGTAAAAGGATGAATACACAACAAAAATAAGATATCTGAACATTGGCTTCACGGATTTTACAAACCTGAGCAATCCAATCCCCTAGAGAGTAGACTATGCCACTAATCATCATTTTTGCTAAAACTGGGTTTGTCTTTAGAGCTTCCTCATAAGCAGACCAGTTGTGTTGAGGAGCATATCTTAGTATCTCAAAGAGAGTCCACCCCTATTAGAAAAGTGAAAATTAGATTTAGAACATGTAATCGATAAACAACAAGGGAATTTTGCGATGCGCAAAAATAAAAAGAAAATATAAAACGCATCCAATTATGTCATCCAGCAATGCCTACGGAAATGAAAAAGAAAGAGAAGTTAACATCAATAGCAAGCAACAACTTAAATTTAGATCACACCAGAATTGTTTGAATAAATGAGTTAAAGACAACCAGAATATGAATCAAAGGTTCAAACGAATCTTCTGTACATGAAACAAGAATTATCTTGACTCCTTAATCTAATTAAGCCACAAGTCGAAACTTCTTTTATTACCACAACCAAAAAAGGTTTCTAGCATTCTTAGTCCCCCGATAAAACCTTCTGCTTCCATGAAATCAGATCTTAATTGCATAACTCTGAGCCAGAGACACAAATTCAAAGCCAAAGGTGATACAAAAAACAGAATCGAACTTGCTCCAGCGCCAAGAAAAAGGAAATTGATTTGAAGCCACTATAAATTTCCCAAGAAATGCCATGCGTGAAGGGCATTCCTAAAAGAATGAATGAAAAAATTGAGATACCTTTGCACTGTCCAACCATAATGAACAGAAACAATTTTCATAAAGAGCATGAAAGCAATAAAAACAAAGCCACAAGCAATTTACAAAGCAAAACAGGTATGAAGTGTTCTAAATACACATAATGTAAGATTGTACTTACATGCCAGTAATTATGGTCAATTGTGAGCAACTTGGTGATAGCATAAGTACCAGCACCAAGAACAATCATTGCATTGATGGTCCTATCAATTAACCTCTCGGATTCCGATTGCCTCTCTATACTCTCTGCATCAATACCGGAACTTGAAGCTGAAGAGAACCCTTCAAAAGAGAACCGGCCATCGCTCCCTCCAAACCCACTCACCTGAGCAGCCAACTCGGTCCCTTCTCTCTCTACTGGAATCGCTACCATCCCTTCTTGCTGGTCTACACTGTCACCGCTTTGTACTGGAACAACATCAAGCTCTTCTTGGACAACAGAATTCAACTGCCACCTTTGTTTGTTTCTGGAGAAAGTTTGGATCTTTGGCAATTTTGAGTTGAGAAGCTGAAGGTTTTGCAGGTTTTTTGAAATGGTTTTTTTGGTTTTTGAAAGAGGAAGGAGACCGTGAGGAGAAATGGCGTGTAAAGCAGCCATTTTTGCTACTGAGTTGAGGTTGGGAAAAAATGGGTTGAGTTGACCAAGTTATCGATCTCACTGTTCGTTTCCCCAAGTAAGAGCGTGTGAAGGTAGTCATGATAGGTTAAGAGTATTTTTTTTTTCTTCATTTTAAATTAATTTTATATATAGTTTTTCATATAATTTTAATTTATTAATATTAAAAATAAATTTTCTTAAAAAATATATATTATTTTCATATATTTTTAAATAAAAAATACTTTAAAAAATAATTACTAACCATTTCAATTCAAACCTAAAATTATTTGAAGATGAACGCAGTTAACGTAAAATAAGAAAAGGACAGCTGTTCTATAAATGAAAAAACTCAAATTAATCCTCTAACTATCCACAAATCCTCACTAAATATCTAAATTAAAATTCTAATCAATTGAATCTTTAAAGTAATAGGCATTCATGAATCACACAGCAAACATGTAAGTATTAATATCAATTAATATTTTATGTTTCAAATTTTTTTGTTTTGTGTGAAATTTTTTGTAGATTTTTATATGTTTATTTTTGGAAAATATTAAAAAAAACATCTTTTATATTTTTTATTTATAAAATATATCACAGAAAAACTAATCAATAAAGAATATTTAAAATTGGTCAAAAAAATATTTTACTATTAATATTCTAACTTAATTCAATTATTTAAAAATATATTTATTTTATGAAGTTTTATAAAATATTTTACTCATAGTAATTTATTTATAATATCATTTAATTATTTCAATTATTATCTTGCTATCACCATCTTATCCAAGACTATTATCATTTCATCACAGTTTTTTTTACCATCACTATTCAAAAATATTTTGCATGTAAAATGAAATATTTTACACAAAAAAAAATCATCATGCATCATATTTAGATTTAAATACCTTGAGAATCTAAATTTGTTTTGGAGATTATATTAAGAATCATTTCATAGTTGGGGGACTAATATGATATCTGGATATTGAAATGGACTTTTCAGCTTTAGCAAAACGACGAGTTTAATACAATTCGATTCTTTTTAGTCACAAAAAGATTCAATTTGCGAAATTTCGTCTATGGTATCTTGGATTGGGGCCCCACTAAATTTAACTCCTGGGCACAAGAACGTACAGATCATCATGTGCGGGGTCCTTTTTAATCTAAAACTGTAACCCAAGCTCATAGGGAGTCCACATGTCGTGGATCTATGGGCCCATTTGGATTTGTCCACATGTACATTTCTTTTTTCACCGAAATTTGTAAGCCATGTAGTTTTTGAAAGTTATGATGGAAACATGTAGATAAATTTTGTTTGCACTTGAAAAATAATTGAGCTGTGGACGAGCTAGTTTAAATTATTTTTTTAATTCCACAACAATATAATATTTATTAACGTATTTTTTAAAATATATTTTAAATTATATGAGATTCGATATAATTCAATTAATTTGATTAATTTAAATATTACCTGGATAAATATAAAAAAACATAGTTTAATTAAAATAATTTTAAGATAATATTTTTATTTAATATTAAGATGGTAATATGCTAAATCATTCGAATTAATTTTTAAAATTCACAATTTATATCATAAAACTATAATAACCTTACAAAAAGTAAATTAAAAAAAAAAATGAAATATCATTCTCAATCAACCACAAGCTTAATGATGATTTTTTTTTTAAAAAAAAGACCTAAATCAACTCAGGATAATTTATCAAACTTACGATCTACAACATGAAACTACGATAACCTCAAAATAAGTAAATTAAAATAAATTATAAATATTAATTCCTAATCAACTCAATATTGAAGAATTACATCAGAAATAATTTAATTAAAAAATGATCCAAGTCAATCTGGGTTAACCCATTAAACCCTGAACCAATGTTATGAGACTGAAATAATTTTATAGAAAAAAATTATAAAATTCAATTATCAATAAATTTAATATTTAAAAAATAACAAAAAAACTCAGACAGCTTGAATTAACTTGTCAAACTCATGACTCATGTTATAAAGCTGAAATAATTTTATAAAGTATAAATTAAAAAAAATTATGAATATATATTCCCAATAAATTTAATATTAAAAAATAAAATTAAAAAAAAACCGAAAAATTCCAGGCCCTTAACAATTTATAAAAAGTTAAATCAATTATATTTATAATATTTTAAATTAATTAATTTTAAAAAAATAAATTTAAATTAAAAAAATTAGGCTAGCTCATCCGTCTAGCTTTAATTGAAAAACTCTGGCATACACTTAGGTTTGTTTTTTTTTTTTTTTTTTCCCTCAAGAATGGATGCATGTTGTCCACTTCTTTTTTCTTTTTTTTTCCTAAGCAGTAGGTTTCTTGCATAAAAACCCAAAATTAAGTTATTTTTACTTGAAAACAATTTAAAAACACCATATAAACATTAAATTATTTACTAACTCCAAAAAATCCCAAAATCAATAAAAAAAATTAATTAAATTAAAAAAATATAATTATATCTCAATCTACCTTTTCCAACATGTTTATATGAAATATTTATTACCATCTAACTCTTTTTATCAGATAAAACTTCATTAACATTAGTCATTTGATTGTCAGCGTATTGCCATTTGAAGACTTAATATCTCCTCTGATGCTTTTTTTATTACATTCTCTTTTTTCTTTTAAATTTAGGGACTGAAAAATCAATAAAATAAACTTTTAGATCAAAAACTATAATTTCAAAAAAATATAAAGATTGAAAAGAAATAGACAAAGGAAGATAGGATGACTAAAAAGAGCTTTTTCACTCGAATTTGAAATTCATCATGGTTTTTCTCTTTTTTTTACACTTGGGTTTTCTGTTTGTTGAATTTTTTTTCTATAACAAATTATAAAAAATTGGTCGATAACATTGTCTTATAAGGTTGCAATTAAAAATAAAAAAATTAAAAATTAAAAAAGAAAAAATTGAGTTATTTTAGATTACTACAATGTTTTTATATATGTTTTATTATATTTTTTAATTATAATAAATTTTCAGGCTAAAATTGTATTTTTGAAAATTTAAGGGACTGGATATTTATAAATTGAAAAATATGGGGATCAAAGTGAACTTTTCACACTATTTTTGAAACTACCATCTATTTTCTTTGCCCTTTTCATCTTGGTCTTTTTTTCTTTCAACCTTGCATTTCTTCAACAATTTTGAAGTAATTGGGCCTCAATTTGACCTCAAAAGGATGCAGTTGGTCAGAAAAAAAAAAAACCTAAATGAAAAAAAAAAAAAGATACAATGAGTCCATAATTTATATACATTGAAGCATTATAAGCGAAATCCATGTGTGTACACTGCATTAAGAAAAAAACTTGGGAGAGAGAGTCCCAAGAATTCAGCTCTGGCTTGCCTTTGCAAACCAGTGGGGTCTTTTTGAACGGAGCTCTTCATTGGCGAGAGGCATCTGGTTGTAACAGCATTGCCTTTAATCTAGCGAAGGAAGGAGCTAGAAGAAAGATGGTGGCGCTGCGGTGCTGGTTAAGGGTGATATGTGTTTGATAGAAAAATAATATTAGCAAGCAGATTTCTGAACGCACAAGGGGTTGTTGCTGTGACGCTTTGCCTAACGGAGACAGTCTGGTTTCACTCTATTAAACACAGACTGATGAAGAATAGGAAGAAGAGCACAACAGTACGAACAATGAATTAATTTTAAATTGTTCCTTTCTTTTTTTTTAATTTGCTCTGAAAGCCAATAGTGAATCTTGTGAGAGAAAATGTTTTATTTTCATAATCATATGCTTTTTGTTGTTTCATATGGCCGGGTCTTGACAATTCACTATAATTTCAATATTCTGCTTAACATCTTTTTTTTTTTTTTTTGTAACCAACAAGGAAAGATCAAAGATTGTTCTGATATAGTTTATGTATCAGCTAGTTTTTCAAATTTAGGAGATTGATGATGATCCTAACAGTTTGATGGCTTAACGGGGGACTCCAACTCTCTAGCCCTCTAAGTTGCAATGCTGCATATTTTGATACGTGTTGATTATGTGATTATTGATTAAATGATGATTGCACGGTGTTACACTGCAGGCAAGGATAAGTTTTTCCTAATATTAAAAAAAATAAATTCAAGCTACTCTTAATTAATTTACAATTCATAATAACACTTCAAAAAAAAAATCCTATAAAAAAATTTAAAAAATAATAAAGCTCAAGATGTAATAACTTAATGTCAAATAATAATTTTTTTTTAAAATAAAAAAATATTAAAGAAAAAACAAGGGTAAACACAAGCTTACTTAATAACCCACTACCTGTAATATAAGATCAAATTAAAATAATAATTTTTTTTGAAAAAGATAGAAATAAAAACCAAAGTTAAATTAATAAAAAAAAATCAAGTAAACCTTAATTAACTTAACTAACTCACAACTCAGGTCAACCTCACAAAAAAAAAAAAAAAACTATAAAGCACAAAGTCTAATAATCTAATGTAAAAAAAAAACTAAAAAAAAGTATAAAAACCCTAAATCAATTCAGATTAACTCAACTAACTTGCAACTAATGATATGAAATTAAAATAAAAAATTAAATTTAAAAAAAAGACCTACAAGAAAATTTCAAAGTAAAATAAAATAAAAAAAATAAATAACAACTAAAATAATAAAAATAAAATCTGACATAAAAAAAAATGAAAGAAAACAATGGGGACCTAAATTGAAAATTAAAATAAATTAAGAAGATAACATAAAAATAATAATAAAAAATAAGAATCAATTTGAATATAAAAATTAAATGAAATAAAATGTTTAGAGATAAAATTAAAAAATAAATAGTAATTAAAATAATAAAGATTAAAATTGATTGAAACATAAAATAAAAGACAATTGATTTTTTTAAATGACATGAATTTCTTGGCTAGTAAAGAGAAAAAAAAGAGGAAAAGAAAAAAAAGAGTTAATTAAAGGTCAATCAAACCTCTTACATCAACACACGCTCCATCACCGTGAAAAGAACAACTCCATGAAGAGAACAACTTGCCGCTTCTAACACCAGTGATGATGGCATTTGATTATCTTAAGGTATTATATGCATTGCTCAAAAAGTATAAATACCTCTT